CCTACAGATGGATGATGTAATTGATGACATCATTAGCCTAGAATCAAGTTACAATGAAGAAATCTTGGGCTTGATGGATCCTGCCTTGCAAATGGCAAATACGGTATTGATGGCTTTTTTTTTTCCCCCCAAGAAAATCTTGAGCTATTTCTGAGATTCTCTCCTGTTTTTCTGAACTTTTACTTTATCTTAGCAATTGATTCATTGAGAAATTTATTCATAATAAAATGGAGAATTCTCTTAGGAGCACAAGTAAATAGCTTTGACATCAGAAATTAAGAAGTTTTCTTATGTTTATCAGTAACTCATTGATGAAGCTCTGTATGCCCTGGAGTGCAAGTGTACTTTGAATAGTACTTTAGGCCTCTTAATTCCTCCGACACTTAATGCCCAACTGTACAGCCAAGGGAACTAGTAGAGATTGTACTATTTGAGTGGTGTTCTGATTGACCTGAAAAAGTTAATGCCTCTTTATTTTATTTTTAAAAAATTTTTGCCAGAAGGCACATACATTTGCCAGAGAGACAGAAAGACAGAGAGAAAAGGTTAGTAAGAAGGCATCTCCTACGGGGCATAGTCATGCCACAATCCCTTCTCCCTCCTTCCAGAACTTTTGGGCACACAAATGTACCTTACCTGGTTTTCAAACCACTGAGTCTGGGACTCGAACTGCACAGCCAGCCATGGGGGATCCAGCTGTCTCAACCACCACACCACTGGTCCGTCCAAGTTAATGCCTTATGTATTTATTTATTTATTTTTAAAGAATTTATTTTATTTTATTTATTCTTATATTTTTTTTCATTTGGTCGGAGAGAAAGGGAAAGGAAGAAAGCAAGCCACCAGGTCGGGGACTCAATCCACAGTTGGCCATGTGAGAGTTCAGTACCCTAACCACCATACCCCTGCCTGCCTCAATGCCATACTTAAAGTAGGTTCCTGCCTATTTATAGTTGAAAGAGGGAAATTAAGGTTACCCTTCCCCAATAGCAACATTTATTCCAATTTTAGTTCATAAGCCAGTGGTCTCCTTTAATCTGGTATGTTTTTTGTTTTCTTCTGTAATTTGGAGCCTTCCCTTTGTAGTTTATTTTCCTTCACACTTCCATTTTTGTTTTATGTCACTGTTTTACTGTAGTCTCATTATAGACCTTACTTAGATTTTGCTCTGTGAATGTAGTTGGGGTATCATCACTCTCAGGTTTAGATAACAGCTAGGTTGGATAGTCTTGCACAAGATTACATAGCTCAGATGTGTCAAAGCCAAGTCTGCCTGGTAAATCTTCAAATGCCTAGTCTAATTCTTTTCTGTTTTCTATGAGAGCTATGAGACTATCATATCTATCATAATTATTTATTTAATTTTATTTATTCATGCTTTTATTTTAATTTGACCAGAAAGACACACAGAGGGGCGGGGGGGAGTGAGAAAGCAAGCCATTAGGTCCAGGACTCAAACTGTAGTCTGCCATGTGGGAGTGTCCATAACCAATATGCCATGTGCTGGTCCCTGAGACTATCATATTCTTTAATAACTTGTGTCTATGAGAGCAAGAGTAAAAGTAGAGTATATGGTTTTAAATTTGCAAGATGAAAAATTCTGGAGACCTGTTCCATGACAATGTGAATATCCTTTATACTACTGAACTATACTCTTTAAAATGGTTAAAACGATAAATTTCGTGTTATTAGATCATCATATTTTTCTATAAGAAAAAACATGTCATGACATTCCTGGTGATCCAGTATGTGTTTGTTTTACTTTTGTTTTTGTTTTTAGATTTTTTACCATGGAATGTGTACACTCACTGGAGAGAGAGAGTGGGAGGGAAAGTGACAACTCATCGCCTGGGGGGATGGCCATAGTACAATCCCTTTTCCTTCATTCTTCTCCTGGGATTTTGGGTGCACACACACCCAGCATGATTTTTAAGCCGCCAGATCCAGGATTGGAACTATGGTCAGTCATGTGGGAGTCCAGTGCCTTAACTACCATGCCCTCTGCTGGTCTCATATATGTTTTTTAGCACAATAATTGTTTTAAAAAAATATTTTCTCTTAGGGCCAGTAATTGGCATGGTTGTTAGGGTGCTGGACTTCCACATGACTGACCATGGTTCAAATCCCAGACCTGGTGGCTTGCTATCTCACTTTGCCTCTCTCCTTCATTCTCCTCTCAGGATTTTAGGCACGCATGCACATCACCTGATGTGAGTTTCAACACCAGGTCCAGTACTTGAACTGCGGTCAACTATGTCAGAGTCCAGTGTCTTAACTACTATGCCACCTGCTGGACCCTCAAATTGAGTTTTTATAGTTAGCAGTTTTTCTTTCCTATCTTGGCCTAGTTCTCTAAGTTTACTTACTTAAGCTCATGTAGAATGAGGACTCTACTTGAAATCTCAAAGTCTCTTCGAGGATATTTCGATTTGTTCACTTCTCACCCATGTAAATCAGCCTCTGATTTTGGAAGAAACAAATGTTCTGCCTTTCTGATAAACATTTTCATGCGACTCTCTCTATTCTCTTCAAACCCATGGTTGGCGTCCATGGAACTCTTTTGCTTTCCACTTACTGCATCCCATGAGGCAGAATCCGCTTGTCAGCAGTCAGAAGCCTAGGTTGAATATGAACAAAACACTTGGGGTAGCTTGCACAAGGGACTTTCTAAATATACTCAAAGCTGCGATATATTTATAATGTTTTACTACCCTAACAGCATTAATTGGCAATGACCCAGTCATTTCTAAAGAACTTTGTTGTGAGGTGGTCATTTCGCCAATGGTGTCAGATGGCATTGAGTACTAGGTTCATCACTGCAAAAAGAAAAAGAAAAAGGACAAAAATTCAGTGACTTTCTAAGTGGATAGAATCAATACTATCATCTTTTTGCAGCGATGAACCTAGTACTCAATCCATTCTCCTCCTCTTGCGTATCCTTCATATTTTTCACACACAGGAAAAATCAGAAATCTAGCTGTGGAAGAAGTAAAACTAAATGGTTAGGAGTTAAAGATTTTTGACCAGACCTGGGTTCAAATCCAAAGTCTGCTTTCTACTCTGTGACCTTGTGTGTTACAGCTTAAAGTTCCTAAATTTCCCCATCCGTATACCTATCTCACATGATCACATGATCATATCACTTAATAAACAACATACTGCATTTAGCAGTAGATATGTAAGTTGTACTCAATAATATCTACATTGTGTATTAATTATCATATAAAATAATTTCAAATTTATTCAGCTGATATTCATTGACTACCTAAAATGTGTTGAGGTTGATGTTGAAATAACATTGTTCTTAATAATTAAGATACTCTGGGGACCAGCAGATGGCATAGTGGTTAAAGTGTTGGACTCCCACATGGCCAACTGTGGTTCAAGTCCTGGATCTGGCACCTTGCTTTCTCACTTCCCCTCTCTCTCACATTCACTGGCTCTCTCTGGTGAATGCACATGACCTATAGAAAATGTAAAAATAATAATAAAAATTTAAAATAATAATAATAGTAATAAATAAAATTAGATTTTTAATTCTTAAAAAAAAAATTAGGGGCTGGCAGGTGGTATAGTGGTAAGGTGCTGGACCCCCACATGGTTGATCGCAATTTGAGTCCTGGATCTGGTGGCTTGAAACTCGTGGCAGGCACGTGTGCGTATGTCCCCAAAATCCTGAGTGAAGAATGGAGGAAAAGGGATTGTGGCGTGGCCATCCTCCCTGTGGTGTGATTTCTCGCTTTGTTTCTCTCTGGCAAGTGTACATGGCCTATCACAAAAATCTCTCTCCAAAACAAAAACAAAAACAAAACAAAATCTTAAAAAAGTATGCTTTCTAATGACTCACACTGTGAATTCCAGCATGAGTTCCAGTTTGTGTTATGCAAATTTTTTTTACCTGCTAACTCTTCTGAAGACAACTGTCATGACCCCAGATGCCTCTCTCCTTTAGTATGTATGCCCATGTCTCCTCAGACAGGCTAAATTAGTGTTGAGGTCTGGTTCCTTCTTTATTGCCTCTACACTATTTTTAAGATTGATTTAGCATTTATTTAACACCTCCTATGTAATCAGCACTGGACGAGGTACTATGGGTGTGAAGGTGGCTTAGATAAGGGCTTTCTATTGGGCCTTACCAGTCTGGAAGGGGAGACCACTTTAGCCCCTTGAACAGAAACGAATAATTTAGGAGTAAAGAGCCTATCTCAGGGGAATTCCTATATAGAGAAGATCCCCTGGGCAGCAGTGAATTAATTCCCAGCCAGAAGAGGAATATTCCATAGCCACCCTCAGAAGTCATAGACTGTCCCATCATTGTTTTCTCTTCCTATTCCTATGCTGGAAAAGGTTTAATGTAGCTCTGTTGCAGTCTTAATACGGCAAAACTGTTTCAGCATTTTTTAATTAGGGGAAAGACAATATATCGGAGAGATTGGGAGCACACGCTCTGAACCAGACCTCTGAATCCACACACTGGCGTGAGTTATTTGACCTTAGCCTCAGTGTTCTTGTCTGTAAGTGGCGATAATAATAGGAAGTATCATAATAGTATTAATATGAGAATTTGAAGAGTTAATCCCCCCCCCCAAAAAAATTGAAACAGTTCCTGCTCTGATAAGCTTTTACTAAATGTTAGTAGCTCTTATTCTTGAACAACTTAAGTTTTAGTTGTGAAAATTAAATAACAAGGCAACTGCAACTTAAAACTTTTTTATTCTTTTCCCACTATAAAGTTTAATGTTCTTCATCTTAGGCTCTTTTCTCCCTTTAATTTGTTACTTTGAAATGCTTTATTTCAAGTTCACTGAAAAAAAAAAAGAAAGAAAGAAAGAAAAAAGTGGAATGAACACTTAGAGAGGAAACTATCCTAAGGGAATTGAAGTCTAGAAATAACTATCCTTAGAACACAAGGGCCCTCTTGTGCCATCACGAACAAAGAATAAAAGTCCCAGTTTAGTTGTGTTCACAGTGCTCAATTGATATTCAGAGAAGGGGACCATCCAGAAAGAAAAAAACTAAATAATAACATTTTACAATTATCATTTACTTGGAAAAATGTCATTCTGGTGGAGCTGAACATGGAAGAGCTCATTTCAAACCACGATCGGGGAATAGTCACAGGTAGTCGCAGGCACTGCGTCTGTCTTCTGTTTGTCCTGATTAAACAGTGGCTTTCCTCCGTCCACTGTGCAGCCTGTGCTCTGGAGATGAAATCTTATCCATCCAGTAGGTTAACATGATGGATAAAAACCCATCAAAGACGCGAAATATCCATGTTAATATTAGATGTCTCTTTTCCCCAGCTGCAGAAGTGTTGTTGGACCTAATTATGATGTTCCCAGTTAAGGTGGGATTTTTCTAACCCGGAAGGAAAACCACAGAAATCCTTTCTTCAATATATATAGTTAGGAGACTTGTTTTTTAATTAGAAAGCTTTACTATCACTTTATTTTATCAGGTTTTTGTCGTAGGACATGTGCACTTACCAGAGAGAGACAGACAGAGGGAAATCATTCCCTGGGGGGATGGACAAGCCAAAACCCCTCCTCCTCCATTCTTGCTTTAGGACTTGGGCATGCTCGTACATGCGCCCCACGTGAGTTTCAGGCCTCTGGGTCCGAGACTTCAACTGCGGTTGACCATGTGGGAGTTCAGCACCATAACTATTACACCACCTGCTGGCCCCTTCACTCAGATCTTTAATTCCTAAGCACAGACTGTAATCTCTACACTATTACTGATAATTTCCAAGTTAGAATACCCACGTTTGGCACACAGGCAGCTTAGTCTGTATTTCCTCAACACAACTATAGATGAGTTGAAAATTGCAGTTTCTAATTCGTTTCTCAGCCTGTTAACAACCCCCACACACACTTCAAGTATTTGTTGTCAGCATGAGACCTGAGCCTTTTAAATATTTTTGAATTTTTTAAATTTTTTTATATTGAGAGGTTTTTGCTATAGAGTGCATGCGCTCACAGAAAGACAAAGAGAGACGGAGAGACAGAAAGCAAGAAATCACTCCCAGGGGGGATGGCCATACTGCAATCCCTTCTCCTCCATTCTCCTCTCTGAATCTTGGGCACGCACACACATACATGGGCCCAGCATGAGTTTAAGCCACCGGGTCTGGGACTCGAACCATGGTCGACTACATGTGAGTCCAGCGACATAGCCATTACACCAACTGCTGGTCCTGAGACCTGAGCCTTTTAACAAAAACCTCCATTCAGCATAGTCAGAACTCTGTTTTTAATTTCTGTAAAATCCGTAAGGTGACATATACAAAGTACCATTCTAGTTTAGCTCCTGACCCAATATCGGTTCTCACAAAATTAAATGTTCCCCAGTAAAATATTCTGGCATGCTCTGTGCTGCTCACTCCTAATCAGCAAGTATTGGGAAGCAGCCGAGTGGGAAGCTCTAAGCTGCTTTTTTGACTGGAAGTAATGATGTCTGAGCTCAGGAGAGGGCCTGACAAAATCCTGATCTAGAGATTTTAATTCGTCTTCAATATTTGTGGGTACTGCTATTAAGGCATGTGAATGCCAGCTGTTCTTCTGTAGGTTTGCATCTCCCCCTTCCACTTTTCTCTGGGAGTCTTTCCAACATGCTCCCTGCCTCACCCTCATCTGCCCCAGCTTTATCTATCTGGCTAGCTGTCTTTCCCTCTCTCTCCTCCAGCTATGTGTGTTTCCTCCTTCCTGCTTCTCTTCCGCCCCTTGCATCTTTGTCTCTCTCTCATCCCCTCACCCTGTGGTGGAGAGGTCCCTCTGTCCTGAATTTATTAAATATATGTGTGCATGTCATCTTCCTTTGGAATATAGTTAGAAAATATATTCTTGTCTTAAAGAAACTTAGAATTGATGTCTGTTCGATACAGATTTATTGATGCCTTAGAGGGTTTTTTTCCCTCCTGTAGAGCAGGTGGGCTTGCCAGAGAGAAGGAAATTGAGAAATCATCTCTCAGAAGGGATGGCCACACTCTAGTCCCTTCTCCTCCAGTCTTCTCTTTGGATTTGGGGCATACATGCATGTGTACCTGGTGTGATTTTCAAGCTGCTGGGTCTGAAACCGGACCGAGTAGCTGACCACGTGGAATCCAGCAACTTAACCTCCATGACGCCTGTAGGCCCAGGCTTTTGTTTTTTGGTTTTTGTTTTGTTTTATTTTTTTAACTAGCCATGCAGATTGCTTGCTTATTATTTATCCCTAGTAAATCATCGTAATAGTATAATTGCATGTTTTGCATACAATTTGCATGCAAATATATATTTAATTTGCTCTTTTATAGCTGTGGGAATAATTTTTTTTTTTTAGCTTTTGCTTTGAATTTTCGATTCACATTCTTGGTTTATTAATACTCCATTCTCCCAAAATCTGAAACTGCAGAAACATAGGAGAATAAAGCTTTAGAGTACAGAGGAGTTACCAGACCTCTTAGTGGCTTTATAAGTTTCTTCTCTCTGACTTGGTCCAGTCCTATGTTGTAATAGATGAGTGCCTTTCACTTAGTGTTAACTTGGACAAGAGTAAAACTCAACATGCGTAGAGCTAGGTTGACCCTGAGCAGGTGACCTATTTCAAATAAAACCACTTAGTCAATGACAGCTAATAATCAAAGTCAGTTTATCAGTTTCTTAGCTAGAGGGTCTTGAAATGTGATTGGAGGGCACATTTTGTATGTTCATTTGCATGTGTATGTGTGTGTATGTGTGTGTAAGGGAGGTCTGTGTTTTACATTTTATGTACATGCTGTAAATCCTGCCTTCAAAGATGAGCAAAAGGGAGCTGTGCTCTGCTCATCTGTCTGTCTACCCCTCCTCCTCAGTCCTGCTCCAGCCTGTGTCAAATTACCCTATAGGACAGTCTCTTATTCTGTGTACTCCAGTAGCCCCCACCCCTATCTCTTTAGCTAGGAATTTAGTGCATACAGTGTTTAGAAGCCATTATAGGAATTAAAGGCCAAATGGCTACCAACAAAGGGAAGCATGTTTTATTTCATTTTTATTTTGTAGTCTATTTTCTTTTTTTAAACAACTATTTTATTTAACTTTAATCATTATTATTATTTTTAATTTGAGCAGAGTAAGAGAGAGAGAAAGAAAGTGAGAAAGTAAGCTGCCAGGTTTGGGACTCGAACCCCTGTCAGCCATCTGGAAATTCAAGTGCCCTTAACCATCACACCACCTGCCGGCCCCTAACTTTATAGTATATTTTCATCTGTGTGTTAATGATCACTTGAGAAGATGAATAGTACTCTGTTGAGTGCAATGTTTGCTAGATATTCCTGGGTCACTAAACACTGTAATCACACTGATATGCTTTCTGAATGTACTTGCCTCAGATGTAGAGTAAAATTCCAAGTGGGGCTAGGATTTGTTTGAATTAGTATGGAAATGGTAAGCATCTACAGTGGAAATAGCAAATGCACCTAGTCATTACTTTATAGTTATTATTTAGACTGTTATTTTAGGATGTGGGAAGAGGAAATGTCTTGGAAATCCTCTACAAAAACGGGTTGTAAACCTGCTGCAATCAAGTACTTATGGAGAACACCACGTACAACAAAAACAAGTCAGTGACGAGGAAACGATGAGTTCACTGCTTTTCAAAGTTAGTTTGGAATTAGAGGAAAAAATTGTAGTGTTAGCTTGGGAAGGCTATTTCCTTTTTTCTTTGAAGTATAAATTTTTGTTCTTTTATTAAAGTCTTTGGGCTCCCTCTTGTGGCTTTGTGAAAAATTTCAATTGCAAGGAAGTTTTTTTTTTTTTTGCACTAGAAATCATTTCTTTTGCAATAAGACATTTTTATTTATTGTTTTACTTGTTGAAGGAAAGAGAGATGCAAAAGGAGAGAGGAAGAGAGGGGAGGCAGAAAATTGACTTTGATTAAAAAAAATTACTAAAAACCAAACTCATGTTAGTGAAAAAGATTTTGACTTAGAACCCTGTTTTTCAATAATAGCCAACATTTCCTAGGCTACTGGTTGTACTAAATAGTATGTTCAGCACAGTATCCACATTTTCTATGCTTAAGATAAACCCATCGGCTAGCTAGCGTAACCATTTTTTGTGTGTGAAATGCTGTCCTTTCCTTTCTCAGAGGGAGCTAGCTAAGGAGACATTGTAACTCTACTTTAATCCCTATGAATGAAGATGTAAATATCTCATTTTTCTATTGTTTAAAAATGACTCATTGCCTGAGATCATTTCTCTTAAAATAAAACCTGAAATAGGATGTGAGTTTTATCAGAAAAACTTAGAAATTGTTGAACAGTTCATTTCATTCCATTTTATACCTGTTTCTCCCTCTCTCTAGTTACCGGTCTCTGGAAACTTAATTGACCTTTATGGCAACCAAGGCCTGCCACCCCCAGGCCTCACCATCAGCAACTCCTGCCCAGCCAACCTTCCCAACATAAAAAGGGAGCTCACAGGTAAATACCTGGCAAAGGTGCCTCTTCCTGTGGATTTTCGGTTAACTTCCTGATTAGACCAAGTTCTCAATGTGGTGGTGTCGAGACACCATAGAGATCCACTCATGGACATATGCTTTTAGGTGTCTGCAGTGGTTAAAACGTAGCACAGTATTTTAACTTGGAGGATATATTCTTACATTTCCGGTTTCCAGGATCTCCCAATATACTGGGGACTACAGCTGCCATGACTGCTTGGCACCAATCTCTGTCTCACCTGCTGTCCCCTCTGGGTTGGGGACAGCAGGCAAGACTTTCAGCTCTAGACATCTCCACCCAGCCTGGTTACCAGCCAAGCCTCTAGAGGCATGTGAGTTTAGAAACTCTGGTCTGAATTTTCCTTTGATATACATTCAAGTCCACAGTTGGGATGGGGTAAGAATATATTTTTTTACATCCTCAGACGCCTCCTGTTGTTTTTGCTTTAACACGTGCAGAAGATTTATTACATAAAGGAAAAAAGTAAATCATAAAATGGAGTGACGGTATTGTTTGTTCTTGCAGCAAGTGTGAAATGATCTATTCACCACTTGGTTTAATACTTTGGGGAAGGTATGTGGCCATTAAAACATGACGGAAGCTGTATTAGAGCTGGCATCCTACCATGGTGGTGAATTTTATGGCCCTTATCCTTCCCTCCTTCCTATTTTTTGGTTTTTGCATTCTATAGGATTGGATGAACAGACTGAGAATATGGGATATGATTTGGTGTAAAATATTTCTGTTCTGTTCAAAGGTTATCTTTTTTAAAAAATTTTTCAAAAAATTATGGCAGGAGAAATTTTTTTTGGAAAATAATTTATTTGAGTTTAAAAAGCTAATTAACTAACTAAGAAGTAAACATCATCTAAAGCTAAAAAAAAAAAAAAATAGAAAAAGTAGGTGCCCCAACCAGAAAGAAAAAATATAATCCAACAACAAAAAAATCTTAGAGTCATTAAAGTGGAGGATATGTAAGTAAAAGCTTCTGTCATTCTTCTGTGTAAGAAAAAAATGGAAAATTATTTGAATTGACCATCCTAATTGGAAGGGCTCATCTTCTAGATTTTACACACATATGTATTTATATCTATGGGTGTGAGTGTGTGTGTGTGTGTGTGTGTGTTTACATATATATTTACTGTTTTATGGGTGCTGAGTTTTTTGCACATATCTAGTCTACATTGTTTTTGGAAAAGTACAAGCTTTTCAAAAGACTTTAAAAGCCTTTGAAAAACTATATTTGGGGGGACCAGCAGTTAGCGTAATGGCTATGTCGCTAGACTCCCACGTAGTCGACCGTGGTTCGAGTCCCGGACCCGGTGGCTTAAACTCACGCCGGGCGCGTGTGCGTGCGTGCCCAAGATCCTGAGAGGAGAATGGAGGAGAAGGGATTGCAGCGTGGCCATCCCCCCTGGGGGGTGATTTCCTGCTTTCTATCTCTCTGTCTCTGTCTGTCTGGCGAGCGCACGCGCCCTATAGCAAAAACCTCTCCAAAAAAAAAAAAAAAAAACTATATTTTGGGGATCATCAGGTGACATGGTAGTTAAAGTGGCTGGATTCTGTGGTTCAAGTCCCAGACCTGGTGACTTGAAAACCCACACTGGACGTGTGTGTGTGTCTAAGATCCCAGGAAGAGAATGGCGGAGAAGGGATTGCTGCGTGGCCATCCCCCCTGGGGATGATTTCTCACTTTCCCTTTCTCTGTCTCTTCCCTCTCTGGCAAGCACACATGCCCTTCAGCAAAACACACAAAAAAATTAATAAAATAGAAGTATATAAAATAAAAGTATATTTTTACCTAGAGTCAAATACATGTGTGTATATATACACATATATGTACATACGTGTGTGTGTGTGTATTTATAGGGTTGTTGGGAAAATCATAATGTATTTTTTTTGTTTTTCTATGTAAAAAATGCATCATGATGGTTTTGACAACCGATTGTCTATATACACATATATACACATACACATGCATACAAGGATGTATGTATATATGTCTATACAAACATTATAATAATACTCATAATATATATGTGTATATGCTTCGTGGCTATAAGTTATGCGAAAAAGATTTCTAGCTCATGGAAAAGTTCTAAATTGGAATGTAACATTTTAACAACCACTTCTGAAAAAAATAACAGAGTTTTCTGCATCCCAGAATTGGTCCAAAAACACAGATCTTTAAGATTTTATTTTGTTGTGCTCTCTGTAAGTCACGTAGTGCCTTATGACAAAGCTCTCATAAGACTTGCTATGCGAATAGAACTTTCCAAATGGAGCTGCCACCCAGAGCCTCTGTGTGCTTTCCTTATTTTTCTCTTTATAGACTCGAACTTGTCTATAGTTGCTCCTAAGAGGCAGTAAATGACTTTGTTCTAGCAGGTTCTAACAGAACCTGACTCCAAGTCCCGAAAACATGAGTTCTGTCCATGAACCAGCCAGTAAACACCGAGTTCCAATTTGGGAGTTTTTCTACTCGGTTTGCATGTCAGGGTATTAGTATAAAGGCACCAAACCAGACCGAAAATTCTGTGGCCTGAAAACAACATTTGACACCCGGTCGTGGAATCTCGACAGCAAATTCCCACCATTTTCTATTTATTTTATTGTTGTTCATACCTGTTCAGCACAATGTTCACAGTATGCTGTGGGTCATTGTTACTGCTCTTTTCTACTGTTTTGTAGGAGGTGAGTTTTCCTGTCTATCTAGTATATATTGCTTTAGAAAAAGAGGAAGCTTTTGAAGCTTTTCGAAAGGCATCATATATAAACTATATTTGTACTGAGAGTCAAGTCAGATATGCCACTGTGTGTTTAGAGGGTGGGATGTGTTGTGGCTTAGTTGTCGTGTCTCTGAACAGTTCCAGTTTCTAATTACTTCATTCACGTGCACAGCGTGTATTTTCCCCACAGAGTCTGAAGCAAGAGCATTGGCCAAAGAGAGGCAAAAAAAGGACAATCACAACTTGAGTAAGTTGGTTTTACGTTCATGGCCTCCAGTATTGGAGTTAATGTTCCTCCACATACCAGGATGTTGCCAAAAATTTTGGAAAATTTATTTCTGCAGCTGTGAAAGGTACATTGTACTGGTCTCAAGGTATATATATGTTTTTCTCCGTATTTTATCTGAGGGTAAAATTGAAAGTCTTTTATATACCTGTTCTCAGTTTCTGAAGAGCTCTTATTTTTCTTGTTTATAATGGTGTGTATGTGTGTGTGTGTGTGTGTGTGTGTGTATTTTTTTCCTTGGTAAGAGGAAGACTTGATCCCCAACTACCCAATTATAAGTGTTCCTCACACTGGAACTTATTAACAAAAGGGGATTATGGAATCATCTTCTCCAGTGAGATTTGAAAGAAAAAAAAAGAGAGAGAGAGAGACCTGAAGGGGGAGTAAATGGGTAAAGTAGTCTCCCAAATTTCTGAATCTACTGTGACTTGCAAAAAAAAAAGAAGTCCTCTAACATTCAAAATATTTTTGTACACATTTAATTTGCCCTCGATTAAATCTTTACACTTTTCTTGATGAGTATTTAACTTTTTTAATTTAATATAAACAAGTAAGAGAAGCTCTATAGTTTAAAGAGAGAATAAAAAGGGAGATTGGGCTTGAAGTTAGGGCATAGTTTGTATGTGAATTTTATTTTGGGGGGGGAGGTTTTTGCTATAGGGCGCATGTGCTTGACAGAAAGACAGAGAGAGACAGAGAAACAGAAAGCGAGTAATCACCCCCCCGGGGGAGTGGCCATGCTGCAATCCCTTTTCCATTCTCCTCTCAGGATCCTGGGCATGCACGCACACACACCCGCTGTGAGTTTAAGCCACCAGATCCAGGACTCGAACCATGGTCAACTACATGGAAGTCCAGCGACATAGCTATTACACCAACTGCTGGTCCCATGAATTTCTTATCTTCTAGCCTCAGATCATCTTTTTTCTCAATTGATTTTTAACACTATGAGTCACATATAAACACATTCTCTTTATCAAAATGATAGAACGAGGTCAGAATTCTTCTTTAATCCCCAGGAATAAGTATTGTTTGTTTCAATTTGGTGGTGTTCTTTCTTTCTGACCCTTTTCTATATATTAAAGAATATGTACACATACACATGCAAACAGAAACTAAATGGTGTTAATGTAGATCTTAACTCAAGCTCTATCATAGTGTGTATATTCTCTTGCTGCTTTTTTTTTTAATTTTTAAGACAGATTTTTGCTATAGGACATGTTTGCTTGCTGGAGAGATAGAGAGTAAAAAAGTAAGAAATCACCCCCCGAGGGGCATGGCCACCACAGTCCCTTCTCCTCCATTCTCCTCTTGGAATTTTGGACATGCACACACACATGCCTGGTGTGAGGTTTTAGCTGCCAGGTTCGGGACTTGAACTGAGGTCAGCTATGTGGGAGTCCAGCAATGTAACTATTATGCCATCTGCTGGACGTGCTGCTCTTTTTTTTTGGAGAGGTGAGGTTTTCTCTATAAGGTGCGTGCGCTCGCCAGACAGAGAGAGACATAGAGACAGAAAGCGAGAAATCACCCCCCAGGGGGGATGTCACGCCGCAATCCCTTCTCCTCCATTCTCCTCTCGGGATCTTGGGCATGCACGCACACGTGCCTGGTGTGAGTTCTAAGCCACCGGGTCCGGGACGTGAACCGTGGTCAGCTACGTGGGAGTCCAGCGACATAGCCATTACGCTAACTGCTGGTTCTCTCTCTCTCTTTTTTTTTTAACTGAATGCCATATTATGAAAAACTCTTCAAATCCGTCTACTTCTTTAAACTATTGTACAGTACTCCACAGTGTGACTGTATGAAATTTAGTGGTTCCAAACTGCTGCGGGTTTGTGTCCTTCCTGTTTTTTCTCTTTTATGAACAGCGCCAGGGTGAACATTTTATATGTGCCTCTTCATGCACAGAAGAGTTTGTTTCTCTCATTTAGCAGGTTCTGAGAAGTGGATTTGCTGGGTCCCTGAGGGTATCTGTTTTTACTTTTAATAGCTACTACATTTCCCAGTTTTCATTTCAAATATGAGAAGCTTTCTGCCTTCATTTAATCAAAAGATCTGGACTAATATTTCCAAGGGCCCCTCTAGCTTGCCAGTAACTTTACTGTTTAGATAGTTCTTCTTTTAAAACACCTTAGAAATAAGATAATTAGGCAACTGCCAAAGCTTCACTTAACTGAGAAGTGGAAAACTAAGTTGGCTCTTGTTGAAAACAAAATACACCTTTAATTAGGCACCTGAACTCTCAAGTTCAAAGTTGTCAGTAAAGTGCAAACAAGATTAGCTCATGTTTTGAGGCCATAAACCAACCTTACAGTCTCATCTGCCATTTGAAATTAACCGGCAAAGTTAGATTGCCCCTCAGCCCAGCTCTTCCTCTCCTAGTAATTTATCTTGTAAGAATACTAGCCAAAACATACCCAAAAATACAATTACTTCCTCAATTATTTGGCCACTACTATTTATTATGCTCCTCCCCTTTTTAAAAAATTATTTAACTGTATTTGTCCATTTATTGATTTACTTTTTAATTTGACCAGAGAGGGACAGAGTGAGTGAGTGAGTAAGTGAGAGAGAGAGAGAGAAATGAGAAAGCAAGCTGCCAGGTTCAGGACCCAAACCATGGTCGGCCATGTGGGAGTCCAGTGCCCTTCACCACCATGCCAACTGCTGGCCCCTGAGCTCCCCTTTTGAATTACTTTCTAGAGGAGGGAATCAGACAACAGATTTTCTACCCATAGGCACTTACATTTGAGTCAGGAATCATCTACCATAAAGGGACACTTCAAAAGTTCATGGAAAGTGGGACCAGCAGACGGCATAATGGTCATGTCACTGGACTCCCATATGGTCTCATGTGATTTGAGTCCCGAACCTGGCAGCTTCAAACTCAGGCCAGACCCAAGTGCATGTGTGCCCAAAATCCCAAGAGGAGACTAGAGGAGAAGGGATTGCGGCGTGGCCATCCCCACTGCGGAGGGTGATTTTTTACTTTCTCTCTGTCTCTCCAGCAAGCACATGTGCCCTATAGCAAAAGTCTCTGTCTTAAAATTTAAAAATTTTAAAAAAATTTAAAAAAAAAAGGTTCATGGAAAATAGAACTAAAGTACTAGGTTTTTTGGTGCAAAAACTTTTTGAAGCCAATTCATTTTTCATAATAATAGACGTTTTTCATGACTGTCTTGAAGACCCCTCATCTACTTCTGAGTGAGAAGAACAACTTGAAAAGTAAATGTATAATATCCTGTTGTGTGAAAAGAGCATACTGTAAAGGGGTGTATTTGTGTGTGTGTGGATGGATGTGTGTGGTAGAAGATAGAAGTCACCCTTCTCAGTGACAGTTTTCCCCCGGCACATACATGTCGGGTGGTTTAGGGTTGGCTGTTATTTTTTTCTTTGTAGACTTTTATGTTTATAGATATTTTTACAAGGCTATATATCACCTTTATAATAAATGATTGGAGGAGTGAATTAACTAAAAATAAGATGTGGGACATCTAAATGTCGACAGTGAAAGATGTAGACGATATGCTGTGAAGTGAAAAGAGACAGACGCAGGATCATTTTAAGTGCAATCCCACTTCTAATGTACCATTCTTTAACACATATTTATTCATGAGGGCCTACTGTGTGCCAGGCACATAAGATTCTTTGGAATACAACAATGAGTAAACAGTGAATGAATGAACAAATGAGTGAGTGAGTGGAGGAATGAATGCATGAAGTATGTGACTATTTTTGAGGAGACAAATGGCAACAAAGAGGATCTGGTGTCAGGATGGGGAGGATGGTCATGGCTGGATTTTAAATAGGATGACTAGGGCAGCCAGACGGTGACTCTGACAAGATACGATACTCTTCACAGCCGACCCACATGGGAGGGGTCTGGGGTTGGTGTTTGTAGACCTCCTTGATTTAACCGGGCACATGCGTGCCTGTGATATGGGTGTGACTCAGACTAGAGATAGATTATAGTGTCTGGAACTTGTTAGGGATTCTGTGTGTATGTGTATCTCTCTCTCCTGTCTATCTCTCTCTGTCTCTCTTATGCATGGAAGAAATACAAATAAACAATTATATTGGCTTGTCAGAAAAGTTAGAACTTTTTTTTTTTATGATTTTGTATGCAAAAATGTGTCATGTCTTTTCCAACAACCCAAAAGGAGGTCTCACAGGTAAATTTGAGTCACTATCTGAGCCAGGTAAGGGGAAAGCCATTCAGAAATCTGTAGGAAGAGGTTTTTTCCTTTCCTAAGCAAGGAGAACAGTCATATGAAGTGCTAAGATGAGGAATGTGTCTAACATGGTTAAGAAATGACAAGGAGCCAGTGTGGCTAATGGGGGTTACAGGAGAATCACATTAGGACATACGTAGCAAATGAGGTCAGCAAGATGGGAGCCCTCCAGATCTTTATAAGACACCTCAAGGACTTGCATTTTCTCTACGTAAAATGAGATGCAATTGGACAAAGAGTTGACAGACTCTGGCTTACGTTTGGACAGGTTTCCTCTAGTTGCTGTGTTCTAGGTAGACTAAAGGGCAATAAGCTTGAGGGCAGCTGAGTTGCCAATTAAGAAAGAATATTACGACACTCCAGGCAAGGGAATCTGTGATATCTAGCAGGTAGTACGAAGGTTGGAAGTGAACAGATTCTGCAGATACTTTGAAGATAGAGTCGGCAGATTTGATTGATTGTTCAGATGGAAGATGTGAGAGGAAGCCAAATGCAGAATTGATTCCAAGGTTCTAGCCTAAGCAACTGGAAGGGTGTAATTACCATTAGGTAAATAAGTTACCATTAAGCTGGTAGATGGAGCAGATTTGAGCAGAAAGATCAGGAGGTCCATTTCAGACTGTTTGGGCTATATGTTAGATCTCTGTATGGGAACATCTTGTAGTCAGTTTGACATAAGGATGTGGAATCCAGGGCTAGAATAGAAATATAGGAATCATCAATGTAAACATGGTATTCGAAGCCATGAGACTACCAGGAATGAATGGAGACCAAGAAGAGTTCCAAGGACTGTGCCACTGCATGCATATTTATTTGTTTATTTAAGAGAGATTTTTGCTATAGGGTGCATGTGCTCGCCGGAGAGACAGACAGAAAGCAAGAAATCACCCCCCAGGGGAGATGACCACACTACAGTCCCTTCTCCCTGATTCTTCTCTTGGGATTTTTGGCACATATGCGTGCACACCCAGCAGGAAGTTTTGGCCGCCAGGTGTGCGTGCATACAGGACTTGAACCGTGCTCAACTATATGGGAGTCCAACAACATAAGCATTATACCATCTGTGGGTCCCCATGCATATTTATTTTTAGAGCATAAAAACAATCACAAGAGCTACATAGGAAACTTAACAGTGAATCATACGGGACTTTTATTTCATTTTGTGTATTTCAGTATTATTTGAATTTTTATGAGTATTATATGTTTGGGGAAAAAAGTTGTTATGCTTGAGCATTTTGAAGGATGGTATAACTAATGGATCAGGGAGTTAAGAATATTTCTAGAATCATCAGCCATCACTTTGTATTTCAATTTTATAAAAGTCTAATAATGACTTGGTTATAGATATGTATAATCAATATAATGATGGAAATAATCACTCAACCAAGATAAACTATGATTCATATTGGGAAAGCAATGAATCATATTACTTAACTAAGTGTATGAAATATGAGTGGGTCAAATATAAATATCTATTAGGATATTTAAATTAAAATATTAACACTTTATTAGAGCTTCAATTATTTGAAATTTATTTGCTAGACCAAGTAAATGATCCTACGCCTTATTATTTAATCTTCCCATAAGAAAATGATAATTTAGTAGAGCATACAACTGGATTTATACCATAGGGGTGCTGGAAAGATGCACTGTGTAGTTAGAAATGCTGGCCCTACGTTCTTTATCCGAAATAGAAGCCATTGCCACTTGTGCCTATTAAAGCCCTTGAAGAGTGGCTGATCCAAATTGTGATGTGCTCCAAGTATGAAATACACCTTGAGTTTCAAGATTATAGTATGAAAAGCAGAATTCTAAATACCTACTTTGTAAGTTTTTATGTCAACTCCGTGTTAAAACTCTATGATGATATATTTTGACTATAATTGTTTTAGTAAAGTGCAAGATTTTTATAAATTTCTTCTTCCTTTTTTTAATATGACTACTAGAAAATGTTAAGTTTAACATACATGCTATTTCTATTGGTTGTCACTGAGTTAAGAGTGTAGGGGGTTGTTACTTGACCCAGGAGCTAAGATTGTCTTGTATATTTTTAAACATCTGGGGCCAGTAGGTGGTGTGGTAGTTAAGCACTGGATTCCCACATGCCCTACCACAGTTGGGGTTCCAGGCCCTGTTGCTTAAAAAAAATCACACCCAGCCTTACATGCATGAGTGTCCAAAATCCCAAGAGAAGAATGGAAAAGAAGGGATTACAATGTGGCCACCCTCCCAGGGGAGTGATTTCTCACTTACCCTCTCTCTATATGTCTCTGTCTCTGCATGAAGCACATGCATCCAATGGCAAAAAAAAACCAAAAACAAACAAACAAACAGAAAGTTGAATAAAGAAGAAAATTTTATGATATGAAAATTACATGAAAAGTTTTCGTATCATAAGTAGATTGTAATGCCTTTCATTAGTAGACTTGCATTGCAAAAAAAAAAAAAAATGTACTCAGTTTGGGACCAGCAATTGGCACAGTGGCTATGTCACTTGACTCCCATGTAGTCAACTGCGGTTCGAAATCCAGACCTGGTGGCTTAAACTCATGCTGGGTGCATGTGCATGCATGCCCAAGATCCCTAGGGGAGAATGGAGGAGAAGGGACTATAACGTGGCCATCGCCCCTGGGGAGTGATTTCTCGCTTTCTGTCTCTCTGTCTCTCTCTGGCTAGCACATGTGCCCTATAGCAAAAACCTCTCAAAAAAAAAAAAAAAAAAGGACTCAGTTAGTTAGACTATTGTCAATAAAGTCGTGAAGTTTGTTTCTCTCTGGTATGTAAATACTTAGGTAATAGTCTCAGTTTTGTTGTGTAGCCCATAGAACCACACAGATTCACTATCTGGCCCTTTGCAGAATTGTTAGCCAACCACTGATCCTTTAGGGTGAGGGTTGACTTTGGGCTGGGTGTCCTCACCACATGCTCGAGGTCTCCAAAGAAGTTTGATCATTTCAAAGTGAGGAAAGCAGATGATTGCAGGTTGTTACAGGATCACATGAGAAATTGTTTATCTAAGGGCTTTTTAAATGATAAAGTTCAATCCAAAAGTAGCTCATTTTCTAAAGCGCCTTAACCTTAATACTAAAAATATGTGAAAAGAGTGGGAAAAATAGGTTCAGGTTTACACTATCCTGACCTGGTGAATATTAATGTATTATGCACACGCCTTTAATGAGATGTACTAAATGCATATATGGAGCTGTTACTAATAGCCCTTTCCTGTGCTCTTTTCTTGAAGTTGAAAGAAGAAGAAGATTTAACATAAATGACCGCATTAAAGAGCTAGGTACTTTGATTCCCAAGTCAAATGATCCGTGAGTACAATTGCATGTTAATCTGCATCATATATTTTTCATACCTTCATTTTTTCCATATGTTGCAAGAAACGTGCTTGAAAAAACTAGAGGCAAAAAGTCCCCCTTTTCCCTTTGGTTTCATTCTTAAATACTTCTTACACCTTTCTTTTGGCTTGTCTTATCAAACTAAAATTTAAAATAAATGCACTGTGTTGTACAAAGGATTATTGGACCTAAGATAGTTAGCTTTAGGCTAACTTTAGGTGGCTTTCTGAAATCTGAGAATCCTTGGCAAACAAATACCTCGCTACAGAAAAAATCATTCTTTTAAGAGTTCCCATAGTTCAGAGGTCTTAGTGGCTGGTAAAGCAAGATGCGTTACGTATTTGTTCTTGGACTTGTGCGGTATTTCTAAATAGATCCCGATGAGTGGATACTGCAGACTTCAAATTTAATGATATTCAGCAGACAAAAGGTCAATTGTCTTTATGAAAACTTGCATATTCTTTGTATGGTCTTCTAAGCTAGAAAAAAAAAAAAAAGAGTAATCGTTAATCCTATTAAGTACAGGTCAGCTAATTCGGATTTCATCTTTTAGCCCTACTTTTTCCCCCGCCCACCCTCACCCTGCACTTGTAAAGGTAAGGTTCATATAGATCATTTGTTCACGTCCTTCCCACCAGGCTTAGTGTTACCTGCACTGTCAGCAAATAAGGCCACAAATACACAATTTTTATCTATTAGAAATTGGCCCATTTGAAGTAAGGGGCTAGAGAATGTATACATTTTAATGGCCCCCACAGGCATGCTATGAAATTAGCCTTTGAATATGACCTTTTAGCTACCTAATAAAATGTAAAGATGAAATCAAGCATTATTCATGCAAGGCTTATTAAATGTGCTATTCACATTATTGTCAGGGAATTTGTACCAAAATAAAATGAAACCATTACCTATTGTGAGGTGGTTATGATAAAATGTGCAAGCAGTTTCCATCTTCAACATTTTGCTTTCCTGGGTTTGAAGGGAAAGCATTTTCAAACTCAAAACATTCAAATTCTCAGTTCTGCAGCACAAATTTATCCTACTAAAGGGCTGTGACCTTCATTTCCTATAGTCAGTCTTGCATGATAGTTGAAATTGAATTCCCATTTTCCTGTTCTTTATCAGCTTTCACTTTTTAGCATATTCTTTTAAACTGTAGCATGTGAATCTCTTTAGTAACATATTATAAAATTATGGGGCTGCAGTGAAAGCCTCTATTTGCATATCTTCCCTCTCCATTGTATGGGAATACTTAGTGTTTATAATCTGAGTTGATAATGATCTTTAATTGTAGGCATTGTTTTAAGATAAAACAGACTATGATCTGTGTTGTGTTTTGCCCCCACCAAGTTTCTAGAATGTGCTTTGGGGCTGCCATAAGGACAGGATCTAATGATTATAGTCTGAGTCCCAGGCCCTCACTTTCCCCAGAGCCAGCTTGCTTTTGTCGATTTCATATATTGGGGATCTGTAGACACTTCTGTATGAAGGAAGGGTCACTCTCATTTAAAAAAAAAAATGAAGAAGAAAAGACAAAATAAAAAACTTTCTTTCAGGTTAGACGCTTATTCAAAAAAGTTAGTTGATTGGATCTCATAAAAGAGCCAAACCCAAAATAATTTTATCACTTTTTAAAAACGAAATGGCTGCTTGAATGTACCTGACGTGGTTTCTCACCTTCCTGCCTAGGCAAGGCTTCATTCATTATCATTACATTTCTCTCTGGTCAAAGTTTCTGTTACTTTGACTTGAGGCCTGTACACTGGGTCTCAGTGCTCATTCTGCGTATCTCAGGATACCTCCGTTAGTTGCCATCTTTGGTGCTCAGGCTCCAGGGACCAACCCCAGGGAATTTTCTGGGGGCTGTTACTGTCCCTCTCATGGGAGAACTTCTGTTTTGTTCTTCATCTAACCCATATGAGGATCAATTACTCAGTGACTTGTTTTAATGGCCCTCCATTCACACGTCTCACCTGATACTTCAGAGTAGATCATGGGGTAGATGGTTTTCCACACATCAGGCTGTTTCTGTTTTCATCATCATTGTTGACATCATGGTAAATGCTGTCCATGAAAGAAGACGGATTAATGTAAAGCCACAGAATTATTACCTATGTGATTATGGGTTCACTCCTTATCATTTTTTCTGGACTGTTCTAAATGGTCTAAAGCACTTTCACCTGCATGTTAATGGCGTTCTTAATTTTCTCCTGTACAAATACATTAGACCTGTACTGACTTTGACCTTACAGGCACTACACTCAGTCTGCTTGGATTGAAATTCCAAGCAGGCGTCTGTCCTTGAGAAATTTTTTTTTATGTTTTTCTCATCTGGTAAAAAAAGAGGTCATCCGTATGTTCTTACCTAGTCTAGTTGTTTAGAAGATTTGGTAAAATAAGAGAAAGAATGGTATAGTGGTTTTGGCCAGGGAGTCTAGAACCAAATTCTTTGAGCCTCCTGGCTGTCACTTCATAGCTCTGTGACCTTGGGAAAATGACCAAACCCTCTCTGTGCCTTAGATTCCAACCAGTACAATAGGGATGATATTACTCCCTATCTGTCGAGATTGTTATGATTAAATTAGTTGTAAGTCACTTTAAAACAGGGCCCACAAGGTAGCGTAATAGTTAAGATATTGGACTCCCTCATGGCCAGCTGTGGTTTAAGTCCCAGGCCTGGAGGCTTGAAACTGAACACTGGGTTCATGTGTGTGCCCAAAATCCCAAGAGGAGAATGGAGGAAAAGGGATTGTGGTATGGCCATGCCCCGTGGCGGGTGATTTCTCACTTTCTCATTCTCTCTCTCTCAAGCGCACGTGTCCAATAGTAAAAATCTATGTCTTAAAAAAAAAAAAAAGATACTTTAAAGCATACCACGGACATAAGAAATGCTTTGGAAAGATAGTTATTATTGTTGTTAAGCCCTTAACACAGTGCCAACTCTGCTGTTTGAATTGTGTTCTGAATTTTTCTCATACATTCACGAAAAATGCTTCCTGAGATTCTAGTAGTGTACCCGTGAGGCTGCTCGTGAAAGTGTAAGATCACACTTCTGTAAATGAAGAAGTAGATACAAAGGGAGTAGATAAGTTACCCATGATAACTCATGATGAAACAAGGCAAAACAAAACCAAATCTAAGAACGCTACTTGTATATTGCAAAAAATCAAATAGTGGGATCTTTGTTTTTAACCATAGCTTCTTCTGTCTGTTTTCCTCCATATTCATCACAGAGACATGCGTTGGAACAAGGGAACCATTTTAAAAGCATCCGTGGACTATATCCGAAAGTTACAACGAGAACAACAACGTGCAAAAGAACTTGAAAACCGACAGAAGAAGCTGGAGCATGCCAACCGGCATTTGTTGCTCAGAATTCAGGTAGGGGTGTGTGTTGCACCAAGTTCACTTCATATTCCTCACTGTAAGATGGGAGAAAGAATATAATGAGCCATGAGGGAGTTGATGTGCACGATCCTAAAACAGTGGATTCTTATTATTCATGGACTTATTATCTGTGATTTTGCTTATTTGTAAAACTTCACTGGTAACCCCCAAATCATCACGTGCAGTACTTTCCGTTTCAGTGCGCGTACTTGCCACTGGAAGCAGGAGATGGAAATCCCACTTTAGTATCAGCTTCTTGTGCTGAATCTAAGAACACAATTAACTCTAAACCTGGCCTCGAGAACTGCCTATTAACAGTCGAAGAAGTTTGCAAGTGTGACTTTGACTTCCTTTCTGACTTTTAACACAGTGTACCCGTAAGAATCAATGACATGGTAACTTCTTCAGTAGATCGACACATCTTTTACTAGATTTTTGTCATAGAAAAAGGGCTGTTTTTCAGGTTTCCAGTGCAGCTGTTTATGGGGCTGTTTTAGGAAACAGCAGTGCAAAGTATGATGCTTGAGAGACCATCCTGTTTCCCCTAACAGTGCACATCCTAGACCTTGAACTCATTGAACAGAGCAACTCATTTGTAATAATGGGCTCTGCCAATCTTCTGAATCTCCACAGTACTTCTCACTTGGAGACCTCACATCTCTCATTCACTGCAGCCATCCTCAGCCGTGGGGCAGGGAAGTGAAGGGCGGCTCTTCTCCAGGGATGCGTTTTAGAATCTGAACAGTGAAGCAAAGGTTACCTATTATTTCAAAATCTTCCTTTCTCATCTCCCCACTTTCTTTGTTTTTTGTTTGTTTTATGTCCTGTCTCTTCAATAATAGCTATAGATATTTAATCTCTTGAACCTAGTTTTAAAAGCAACTTGTACTGGGGCCAGCAGATGGTGTAGCAGTTACTTTGCTGGACTCCGACATAGCCAACTTCGGTTCGAGTCCTGGATCTAGCAGCTTGAAACACACACTGGGTTTGTGTGCATGCGTGCCCAAAATTCCAAGAGGAGAATGAAGGAGAAGGTATTGCACTGTGGCCATCCCTGCTGGGATGTTTCTCATTTTCTCTCTCACTGTCTCTGTTTCTCTCTCTCTGGTGAACACACATGCCCTAAGGCAAAAACATCTAAAAAAATTTTTTTTTAAAAATGTAACTTCTACTAATGCATTATTTTTTATACAAGTATCAAAATGTAATAACTATTTGGAAAGATAAGACTTATTTTAAGGTTCCAAACATGTATATTCATGTGAAATACGGATATTGTCAGCTATGTGCATTGGAAATTCCATGGTGATGGTAACTTGGTTTTCTTCCAGTGACAGTGTGAGGCAGCCTTTAGAACTTTTGCATATCATAGAAAACATTATTAATTAGGAAAGCTCTGAGATGCAGTGAAGCCAGAGTTCTCTAGATGAGATTTATGGTCTTATTTGGAAATCTAGGTAATGCTTTAATCAGCTGATAAACATTTTTAATTAAACAACAAAGGATCAGAGTAAGACATTTGCCCCTTTAACTGACTATTTATTTATTTATTTGAAAAGACAAACTGCGTGTGCAGAACTGCTAGTTTTATTAGCATGTTGGTGCAGATTTACAAGAGTCCATGTTTTCTACTTGGGCCTAAGGGCTTCCTTTCATTTTCAGTCTAAGTGATGCATGCAAAAATTTTCACAGAAGATAGAGCATGAAGCCTTAATATCAGTGGAACTGCCATTTTATTAAACAGCCCAGGGCTTTAAAATTTTGCCTGGAGAGACTTTGTTTCCAGGAGGTTGTTTAAGGAACAGACAGATACTTGTGTGACATCTTAAGCTCTTGTCTCTCATTCATACTGTATCCCGAGAAGGATCTGGCAGATCCAACAGCCTTTCAATAGACTAAGCATGATTTTTCAGCCACATGTTTCTAAGCTTGTGGGCAAAGGTTGAGGGGCTATGTCAGGTGGAGATAGTGTCCTCTTTGATGAGAGAAGTTGGCTTATTTCAAAAATATATCCTATTAATATTTCATTATTGCTTAATATTGATTAATATTTCACAAACATAAGAAAGGATGGCATTGGCAATATAAAAATGGACAACCTGAGAATCGATTGGGGTTGCTACAGTTCATTTTAGAAGTATACAGGGTTATGCAGATGGGAAAGGGGAATGAGCTGGTTTGGAACTCATTTTGAAATGACTCAGTAGGGGAGTTAGTGACTTAGGAAGTGGATTGTTCTGCTAGTACTGTTGTAACAAAGTACCACAGACAAGGCAGCTTATACCACAGAAAGTCATTGTCTCACAGTTCTGGAGGCTAGAAGTCCAAGATCAGAGTATCGGCAGAGTTCATTCCTTTTTGGCTTCTCTCCTTGGTTAGTAGATGGTTATCTTTTCCCTGTGTCTTCACATTACCTTTTTTTTTTTTTTCTGTTTGTGTGTGTTCTAATCTCCTCTTTGTTGGAAGTATGTTTTATTTTGTTTTACATTATGTTATTCTATTATTCATAATAGTACATAATAGTGTGTACATGTACATAAAAGTTTAAAAGAGAAGTATCCTCAATGGGGTCTGATCATGTCAAATCCCCTTTATCAACACCTTCAGCTTTTCAGAATATTGGGCATGGACTTAGCAACCAGGATTTCAGGTCATCAGGGCCAAGGACTTGAACCACAGTTCAAGTGAACCATGTGACTTCCAACACTTTAGTCTGGTAGGCTTCCAACTGCGTCACAGAGACAGGGTCCTCATCTCTTCTTACAAGGATACCATTCCTATTAGGTTAGGGCCCTCTTGTATGACCCCATTTTAACTGAATTTTCTCTTTATAGATTCTGTCTCTAAAGACAGTCAAGGTTGAAGGTTAAGGCTTCAGCATATTTATTTCTAGGGGCTATACTTTAGCCCATTATAGGAAGATATGTAAAGAAAATATAGGAGGAAACTGTTCATCTTATAGATGAGAACTTACTTAGCGAATTTAAGAAAAAAACTTTCCCGGGAATAACAGATGACATAATGCTTATGTCGCTGGACTCCCACATGGCCGACTATAGTTCAAGTCCCAGACCTGGCCAAATCCCAAGAAGAGAATGAAGGAGAAGGGATCGAGGTGTGGCCATCCCCCCAGGGCATGATTTCTCTCTTTCTGTCTCTTTTGTCTCTCTGTCAAGTGCAAGTACACGTGCCCCATAGCAAAAATCTCTCTAAAAAGAAAAAGAAGGTACTTTCTCTTTGCCATGGTTAGATGGTCTACTTGATGCTTCTCGAACTTTATCTGCTTCTGTACAACCTTCACAACTATTGCCATCACTAACTACTCTTTGAGTTCAGAGTACCTTTAGTGTCTCAGTAACTATTCACTGTACCCTCCTAGATGAAAAGAAATACCTACCATTCACGTCAGATCTAAAAAACTTATTAAGCATCTCGATCCTAACAACTTATCGATCATTTGAAGAATAAATAAATAGAAAGAAAGAAAGAAATCTTATGTGTCTGTTGGGCACTGCACAGCTTCCAAAAACCTTGGAATCAGATTAGATAACGCCACCCTTGTTTCTCATTCCACACTGATTTTCATGCAGCACTTTACATTTTTTTTTCCAGTCACCACAGCTGGATCTCCTGAAACCCTGCTTTACATATAATGGGATTGAAAAGTATGTAGCATGGGGCAAGCAGGTGGCGTAATGTTTACATCACTGGACTCCCATGTAATCGACCACCTGGACGTGGCAGCTTAAAACTCATGCCAGGTGCATGTGCATAAGCGCTCAATATCCCGGGAGGAAAATGAGTAGAAGAGATTGCTTCATGGCCATTCCCCTGGGCGGTGATTTCTCACTTTCTGTCTCTCTCTGTCTCTCTGGTGAGCACACACACCCTACAGCAAAAATCTCTCAGGAAAATGAACGTACGTAGCACAATCCGATGCTGAAACTGAGCACTATCTTGTGTTTAGTAGTTCTCGAGGTATTAGTGCTATTTCTCTTGAAATTCTAATGAATCTTTAGTGCTTTGTGAGTTCATTGGGAGACTCTTAGGTATCTCCTTGCACAATTTAGGTATCAGGAAACTATCATACTCTTTATTTACTTAACATTTTTTTAATCATATGTACATCTTTTTTAGAGAGATTTTTGCTATAGGGCATGTGCAGTCACCAGAGAGACAGAAAGCAAGAAGTCACCACCTGGGGGGATGGCCAACTGTAATCCCTTCTCATTCATTCTTCCCTCAGGATTTTGGGCACATATGCACACGCACCTGGCTTGAATTTAAGCTGTTGGGTCCGGCACTCAAACCATGGTTGACTAAGGAAGTCTAGCAACATAACCATTATGACTGGCCAGTCCCATTTTTTTGGTCTTTTTTTTTCCCCTTAGGAAAGTTTTTGCTATAAGGAACGTGTGCCTGCTAGAGACACAGAAGGACAAAGAGAAAAATGAGAAATCACCTCCCAGGGGGATGGCCATGCCACAATTCCTTCTCCATGTTCCACTTGGGATTTTGGACACGCATACACACATGCCTGGCATGACTTTCAAGCCTCAAGGTCCAGGACTTGAACTGAGGTCAGGCATTTAGGAGTTCAGCGCCATAACCACTATGCCACCTGCTGGTCCCCAACTGTATTTTTTTAAATCACATTTTATCTTATTTTTATATTTTGTAACTTATCCTCATTGTGAGCATTAATATCTGTAAGAGACTGTCTCTCTCCCTCTCTTTCTTGCTCACTCCCTTTTTTTAATCTTTTTTATTTTTATTTTTTTTGCTTCAGGGCACATACACTCTGTAGAGAAAGACAGAGAGAGAAGGAGAAACAGAGTGGAAAGAGAGAGAAATCATCCCCAGGAGGTTGGCCATGCCGCAGTTCCTTCTCTTCATCTCTTGAGATTTTGGACATGCTCTCAAATGCACCATGTTTTTTAAGCCACTGATCTGGGACTTGAACCGTGGTTAGTCATGTGGGAGCCCAGTATCCTAACTATCATGCTGCTTGCTGGCCCCTCAACTAGTCTTTAGGAGATATAGAATTTATTTATTTAAAAAGCAAAAAACTTATGAGAATACATTTTTCCCCTGAAGTTTCTGATTTTTTTTTTCTAACAGACTTTTTTTTTTTTTTTTTTAGAGCAATTTTAGGTTCACAGTAAAATCAAGTTGAAGTTACAGAGATTTCCCATATGCCACATACCCACTGATGCACAGACCCTCTCAGTGGTCCATGCAGCCTCCCTCACCAGACTGGTACATTCACTGGAACTGATACACCTCCACCGACATGTCATGATTCTTTAAAATCTATAATTTACTGTTTGCTTTTGGTGTAGTGTGCTCTACGGGTTGGGACAAACACATAATGGCATGTCCCTGCCGTTGTGCTATCATGCATCCTCACTCACAGCCCTACAAGTACCCTATGCTTCACTTACTTCAGTGTCTGATTTCACTTTTGTTGTAGGAACTTGAAATGCAGGCTCGAGCTCATGGACTCTCCCTTATTCCATCCACGGGTCTCTGCTCTCCAGATCTGGTGAATCGAATCATCAAACAAGAACCCGTTCTCGAGAACTGCAACCAAGACCTCCTTCAGCATCACACTGACCTGACTTGTACGACGACCCTTGATCTCACAGATGGCACCATCACCTTCAACAACAACCTCGGACCTGGGACTGAGAGCAACCCACCCTATAGTGTCCCCACGAAAATGGGATCCAAACTGGAAGATATCCTGA